CGCGCGGGCCCCCCGGCTCCCCCGCTCCGGTCTCCGGCGCCCTCGGCCCCGCAGCACCGGCGCAGGAGAGGTGCGGGGCTGCGGCTGCAGGGGCACAGCAGCGCTTCGGGTCCCTTAGTCGTCACTTTGGTTGTTGGGAGGCGTGAGGAGCGGGCAGGTTTGTGCCTCACCTTGCTCAGCACTTGCAAGGCTGTTGCCTTTTTTTTTTTTGGCCCTAAAGGCTGGCGGTACGTGGCCGTCCCTGCTGCCTCTTCTTCCCTCGCCTGGATCGCGGTTAGCTAAGCGTACAGCCTTACTGCTGTTTGCGAGGTTGAGAACCGTAGGGATTTCCCAAATAAATTGTATTCATGTGTTATACAACCATGATTTTCAAGCAGACACATTCTGCTTTATGCCTAGCTGCGGTTTCAGGGTAGGAGTTATGGATGTCCATTCCATACAGACTGCAATATTTAAAAATCCCTTGTCAAGTTAAGTTATTTTTTTATCACAGAATCTTAAACGTTAGAGACAAGGAAAAAAAACCTATGGCTTGTTCGCGCACAGCCCTTGCTGAGTGTCCCCTCGCTGTGTGTCTGTCCGTGCTGCCCGTGCGTCGGCTGGCTTTTGGGCTCTTGGCTGCACAGCCTAGCGCTGCGGGATCCCGACCCAGCGCCGGCGGGCCGGGAGGCGATTCTTGAATGAATCAGGCATAACAGTAATTGTTTTTCATATATTCCACACACAGGGGCTGCTGCTGCTGCTGTCCCTGGGAGGCTATCCTGCACATCACTGGCTTATTGCCTAGATTTTCTTCTTTTTTTAATAGTTATTTGTTTGATTACAGCAGTGAGTGAAGTTCCTAAGTAGTTGGGCACCAGGCAAACAGCAGATGATGGTCGTTACCCTAAATACCGTGGAGTATAAAACCTGTTACCCTTTTGGAGTTATCCTTCCATAAACAAGATCAAATAATTCTTGTTCTTTCTGGTATTCTTACATCAAATTCAAACACTTGCATGGTATCATTATGTGTTATAGGCGTTACTGGCTAAATGATGTTTTCAGCTCTTACTTCTCGTTTTAGATCAATCCCTTCTGTCCCCTTACCATTTTTGCTCCTCCTCTGGACTCCCACAGTTTGTCAATATCTTTTATTGTAGCCAGCGAGACACATGAAGAAACACCCACATCCCTTCCTTTTCATCTTTCTCTGAGGAGAACTGACTCACCCAGTTCAGTTTGTGTGTGAAGATCTCTCTAGTAGGAAGGATGTTTTAGGTTGTATAGCCTGGAAAGCTTCCTGACGGTTTGTTTTGTGGGGTTATTTTTTAATTGTGGAAGTTAAGAGAGAAGTTATCTCTCCTCGGCCAAGCAGCAGGATATTCTGCACCGGAGAACATATACTAAAGGGTAGTGTTGCAAAGGCCTTACCGTAAGAAATATTGCAGTGAGCCCGATTGCAGAGGTGTACACGTTTTTCAAGGCTCGAGTGCTGCTCTCATTTAAGAGGATGCGTTTATGCCAGGTCACTGCTCCAGTGATTTGTGCTGGTGTGATTGTATCGCTCCTCCCATCGTAGAGGAGCACGGAGCATTTAGTCGACGTGAATTACCGGAGGAGTCGTGCAGAGCAGGGAGGCAGAGTGCAAAGGCTGGTGCATCTGAGCGCTTTCACCAGGCCTCCTGAGTTGGTTTTTTTTCCTTGTAACCATCACAAAGCCGTGCCGTGTCTAACACTAACCTTGAGGGTGTGCCCCTGCTCTGCCCTTGCTAAAGGGAAGGGCCGGAATTGCTCGGCAGCACAGCCAGCTTCCCCGTCACGGGAAGATGGAAAATTTCGTCTTGCCAGTGATTTGTTGTCTGTACCGGTGGTCTGCGGCCTTCCACGCTGCCCTGTCTCTGTCATCAGGTGGAGTCATAGACCCATGAAGTAACATCGTCCTCGTGTCCTAATACTGCAGCACGATCTGCACTTCAGCCAGTGATGATCCAGCATCTTCATGTCTCCTGCCTCATTTCAGGCAGCCGGGATGAGAGAAGGTGATCCTTTCCCTCCTCCCCTTGCTGGCAGGCTCTCCTTCTGCACTTAGCTGAAATAGAAGAGGAGGTTAGAAAATCATGTCAGTTCTACAAACACAGCTGGATCTTCTGACTTTAGCGCTTCCTTTTCTACTGCATCCAAAAGGAAGCTTATCGTATCACACTGCTGTCAGGCTTAGGCTTTGTCCAGCTATAGTAATAGATGCAGATGGATAAAATACGATGATTGTCTTAATTTCTTTTTTCCTGGTGTTGTCATGGGTCAGCATTCTCCTCCTCCTCCCGGGGATACAAACAGAATCCGACTGTTAGACTCGACATGCTTGGGCTGGGGATTCCCTATTCATATGCTAAGCCTGACCTGGGGAAACCCTTTGTTGGGATGGCTTTGGTCTCATTTCAGTGGAGACGTAAACCCAGGAAAACATGAGCATTTGTTACCAGTCAGTGGTCTGTGGTTCTCCGCGTTCCAACCTCGTTTCTCTATAGAGAAAATCATAGAATCATAGATTATAAAATAATTATAAAATAAGCACCTTTGTTTCATATCCAACGATGCCTCTGAATGTTGTCTCCTTGGCGTTTCAGGGTCGGTCTAGCAGAGCAGCTGAGGGCTGCCTGGCTCTGACGCTTGGGGCAGGTAGGAAGCAGCTTTGTACGTCCTACGCGCAGCAGCGTCTGAAAGCTAAGGCAGGGATGGTGGCAGGACTGGGGCAGTGCTGAGCCCTTTGTTCCCAGGTTACTCATTCAGATTCATTTGGTTGCCAGTGTGAGTGGGATTTTCAGGATGGGACCCGGTGAACAAGTGTCTCTGAAAGCGAACTGTATAACCGGTCCCAAATGGGGCTCTGTTGGCAGTTTCAGCAGTGGAGCCAAGGATTTGATATTCCAGAGCCCCAAACTCCTCTTCCTGGAACGACTCCTTTCATATAAGGGTTGAAGCATATTTATAAGGCAGTGCAGAGGAGCTCCCTGCCCACGTTTTAAGCGTTCTGCATAAAAATAGAGGATTTTAGGTTATGCCTTCATAGACGTGATGCAGCTTCATGTAGGGATGTCCTGAAAACGTTAAGCAAGGTAATTTAGCTCGCCTGGGGTGCTGCGTTCATGTGGCTGTACTGAGACTGGTATCCAAATCAGTTTAGCTCTCCGTACACACCGGTGCGTTCTGTCATGCAAACACATCAACCTCCGGAGCCAGGGCAGGACTTCTGGTCATGCTTATTGATTTTTATGAACTGGGCTTTCACATGGAGATTTTATGAACGTTAGAAATAGGGAGTTGCTTCACGTGGATCGTAACTTCCCTCCAGTAATCTCTCTCTCCTTCTGAGAATTTACTGTCTTTGTGTGAGAGCTTTTGGTGGAAACACTTAGATGAATCTCAACCCAATCTGCGAGTGTGAAATAATCCAGTGTCATTCCAAGAAGTCTTTGGAGATGTTCGGAACAGCTTTAAAATTACCATTTGGAGCATGGAAACGCTGGTTACATTTTCCTGTTTGTACCAGATCTCTCCTAATTTCAGGATGTGCAACCAACAAAGAGTTCATTGAGCTGAGTGTCCGTCCTTGCTTGTGCTCTTCCTGTATTTATTAAATAAATTCCAGTAGCTCCAGCCAAGAGCTGTATTTCTTTCACCCGGGCCTGCAGAGCAGGAGAGGTGCTTTGGAGCACCGAACCATGCACAAAACCATTTGACTTGCATGAAAAGACTTCAGATCGTTGTAAGTCCGTGGTTTCATGATGCTTCCAGGGGGTTCAGAAGTTGTGAGTGG